TAAGAAATTTATACCTTTCTCCGTAAGCGGTAAAAACGAAGAAGTCGTAGGAAGAGCGTTGAAAGTGCAAACGTAACCGTTCAAGCGTCCGGTCTCCAACTTTGACACACGAACAACGCCGGAGTCTACCACAACCTTTATGCTAGTAAAGATTATAGTAGTATAAAATATAAAGATTAAAATTTGGGATAATAATAATCTTGTATATTTCTATAGAAAATATTTCTAATAATATTTAGAAAATATTATATATATTTTCTATACACAAAATGATATTAATAGAACACAAAATATTTTCTCTCACTAGACAAAATATTTTCTCTCACAATATATATATATATATATATATATATATATATATATATATATATATATATATATATATATATTATTGAAAGAGAAAGAAATAAACAGAAAGTACAAAAGGAGGGGGTTGGCGGGACCCCTACATGGCCTGAAAATTCACTTCACTACGAACTAAAAGAGCCAAAACAACAATAAAACTACAAGAATAACAAAGGAGTCCAGACAGAAGTGGGGTTCACTAGGCTTGCCACTTATCCGTTGTTCTTATCCATATCCTTTGGGAAGTATTCCAAATGCATCAAATGAGGGAATGTTTGATTATTACTTCCCATGATTGAATCATAATGTGCGTAGTACATGAAGTATAGAGTGAAATAGAGTTTGCAAATTCTGCAGATGGAGTCCTCCTGCTACTGCCCAGGGCCTCGAGAGACTAATAAACATGCCAAATGACCTGTGGTGAGCAAAGGCAGACTAGAACAAATTCTCTAAGATGCCCAGTAAAATCAATAACCTGATTTGTATGGAGGTCCCAGATTAATGTGCATAATTAACAAATGTAAAGGAGGAAGGTGCAACTATATGCTAAACCTTGAAATCCCTGTCAGCATCGTTGGAAAAGAAATTCATAACCAACTGTAAACAAGAAATCAGAGTAAGCATCTCAAAAAAGCATGCCTTTTTCATGAGTAAGCTTTGCTCTTAGATCCGAGAGCCTTTTTCTTCTACGAGGACGAGGAGATTCATGTAGCTTTTTAGCAAAGTTTGTCGAATTTCCTTTGGTTTCTTTTCTTGATTGCTTCTGTCTTCACATGCCAATTTTCCTCCTCTTTAGAACCTCTATCCGTGATCCATTCTTCCTCTGATTCCGCTGATGGTGTATGAAGAGTATTTCCCAAGGGTTGGATCTCATGATCGGAGTTGTAGTTTACATTCCAATGTGGGCTTTCTAGCTCATTGTCTGAATTGGAACAACCAAGGAAGTGGGGAGCCGCTTTAGGAGTATCTTGGTGTGTGTTAATGGGAACAAAAGTAGCAGCTAATGCGGAAAGAGAAGACGTTTGGGCTGGAATGGTCAAGTGGATAGAGGGGGGATTTGAAACAGCAAGTGCTATGGGAGAAGACATTGGTGTAAGCTTCGAAGGCGTTGAGGGATTTAAAGGCTTACTGAATTCAATTGGATTATAGAGGGTATCTAACAGAATCTCCAAGTTGAGAAAGCTCTGTGAAATAGAAAGAGCTTGGGATTGTGAGGGCAGTGAGTTCTGAGAGCAGATAATGGCCATATCTATGAAAGGTTGGGGTAGGGGAATGGAAGACTTAAGTATGTCATAGGCTTTTTTGAAGCAGTGGGTGAATGTGGTGAATCCATTGCCTTGGTTACCTTCGGGAATGAAGATCCTGGTCCTGCCATCTCTATGATGCTCACATATCTTAATGAAGTTCCTGGTTCTATCAGAACGGAAACTGAAAGAAATGGATCTACTCTATTCTCTCTTAGCCACTGAATTTAAAGATCCTTGGGTAGCAAAATGAGTTAGGGATTCTAGTAGCCAAGAGAAGGGCAAAAAGATATATGCTCATGCAAATAGATATCAAACAAACAAATAATATCACATTGTCCAACTAAAATATAAATCAACATTAGTTGGAATTAATAAATTGAATCAACTTCCCCCTTAATTGATGCTTCACCCAATTATGTGCTTGGCGCATCTACTTCAACTCAAGTCAAAGTGTTCAAGCACACCTTCCTTAATGAATCTACGAAGCAAATTTTGGTACCCAATGCCTTTTGGGTCCAGGGGTGTTATGGCAATAATAAAAATCATATGAACGATGCATCACATTATCTTGACTTAGAAGCAAGTGCCTATACTTAGTGTAACAAACTGGTGTGATGTGTCCTACTTTATTACAATAATGACACCTAACACTAGGGTTGTTCATGTTTCTAGGACGTGTGATGTGCTTTCTAGGTTGTCTATCAAACTTAGAATTCCTAGAATGACTTAGTTTATTTCTAGGTGATCTATAGTATTTAATCCTAGAGGTAGATTTTAGTCTAAATTCATTTTCAACTTTCTTCATAGCTAATTTCAAATCGTCTACCTCTTTCTTAAGCNATGCAAATAGATATCAAACAAACAAATAATATCACATTGTCCAACTAAAATATAAATCAACATTAGTTGGAATTAATAAAGTGAATCAACTTCCCCCTTAATTGATGCTTCACCCAATTATGTGCTTGGCGCATCTACTTCAACTCAAGTCGAAGTGTTCAAGCACACCTTCCTTAATGAATCTACGAAGCAAATCTTGGTACCCAATGCCTTTTGGGTCCAGGGGTGTTATGGCAATAATAAAAATCATATGAACGATGCATCACATTATCTTGACTTAGAAGCAAGTGCCTATACTTAGTGTAACAAACTGGTGTGATGTGTCCTACTTTATTACAATAATGACACCTAACACTAGGGTTGTTCATGTTTCTAGGACGTGTGATGTGCTTTCTACGTTGTCTATCAAACTTAGAATTCCTAGAATGACTTAGTTTATTTCTAGATGATCTATAGTATTTAATCCTAGAGGTAGATTTTAGTCTAAATTCATTTTCAACTTTCTTCATAGCTAATTTCAAATCGTCTACCTCTTTCTTAAGCGCTTCTATCTCAAGACTAGAAGACTTACATGAAGAACAAGGTGAATCATTTATTTTCAAATTAGTCTCCTCAAAAGTCTTATTTTCAATTTTGAGGGAATCAATTTCTTTTTGCAAAATATTATTTTTCTTTTGCAAAAGGGTGATTTTATTGGTGGACAATAAATCCACCAAATGATCCGATTCAGAGAACAGATCGTAAGAACAGAATTAAGAATCAGAATTCGAGAATTGGGTGTGTATTATTAACTTAATTTTGCTTGGGTTTTCCCCTTTCGGATCTCCTCCATTTATACATGGGCTCTAGACAATTAAGGTAATGCATAATCAATGGAATCTCTCCCGTCAACGGCGCGATCCTCTTTTTCCGGCTTCGTCTCCGTCATTCAGTTCCGTTCCCTCCTCAGGATTGACTCTGCCAGCTGTTCTTGGACTGGAATTGACCAGGCTTAGCTCCATGGGCCGGCCCAAACCTAGGTATTCCCCAAGCGTTTGACCCGAAGTTATTAAAATGGTTCATTTGGGCCGCCCGTTGGGTATCGGCCCATCACAAGCCCCCCGACTCCTCATTCCTCGACTGGGCCGCGTTGAGGGATGGGGAGTTTTACGAAGTCCACGTGGGCGTCCCAGCGTGGATCCCGGCCATTCCTTGGGTTTCGCGCGACATTTTGGTACTGTCAGTTTAAAACCACGAGAATACAATCATGACCTGCTGCTTCGCCTTCCCACTGTTAGTTTAAAACCGCCGCTGGACGCCATCTTCTTCTTTTGCCTTCTTCATCATCATCTGTTCGTGGTTCTGCTGTTACCCGACCCGTTTGTTTCTGCTCCAGGTCAGTTCCCTTTCTCGCCGCCATGATTGTTTCTGATTCCGATTCGGCCACCCCATCGTCTAATTCTCGCCAAGCCGATCAATCGGCCTCTGGCCGCACCCCAAGCCACACTCAATCGTCTCGGCCGTCGCCGTCGGTGCCTAGCCAAAAGCGGCACCGATTGAGAAAGCAATTTCCCTCCTCGACCCCGGTGAATGAGGGCTCGAGGGTTAAATTGGACGAGAACATAATGGCGTTGTGCCATTGCCAGATTACTGACCGGGGTTTCGCCGATGCTACTGACATGGTTGGACCCTCAATCGAGGTCCAAAGACCTACCAGGACCCAGACCGCTCTAGACGCTCCTTCGGGGTTTTTCACAGTCCATCTGGCGTCCCTGAAGAAAGAGCTGCGATTCCCCCTCCATCCACTGTTGATTGAATTCCTCAATGTGGTGGACCTCCTTCTTTGCCAACTGGTCCCCAACTCTCACCGGTATATCGCCGGTTACTTGGTTAGGTGCAAGGCTGTAGGGGTGAAGCCCACCTTGGACCACTTCTTGTTCACTTTTAAGCTGACCAAAGGCCACAAGGATTGGGCGTCCTATGCTAGCCTTTCCCAGAGGTCTAGTAAACTCTTCGCCAGTGACAAGAAGGGGTCAACCAAGGATTGGAAGCCTTTCTTTGTTTTCGTCTCGACGGGGCCCAAATCTCCTTTCACAGGTTCAGGGCGCCCCTCCTTCCGTCGCATCCCATGCCCCCTGTCTGATGCCACCCTTTTGTCCATCATCCGTCAACTCTGCAATAAGGGAGTCATGAACATCAAAGAGGTGGTGACAGAGGAGTCCCTTGCCGGGTTAGGGTTTGAGTTTGTCCAGGATGAGCTTCGTCACCAACCTGACATGCTGAGGGACATTCCCGGGGGGCACCAGCCTGACCAGCTAAGGGACATTCTTGAGGAAGGTCTTGACTGTGGCCCTTTTGGTAATTGACCCTTTTTTTTTTCTTAACATTTTTTGCCAAAATGTTTTAGTTTATCCCCCTCAAGGCTAATCATTTTCCCCCCTTTCAGTTGAATTACAAGATTTAGGAGAAGAGATGGACGGCGATCTTCTGCTCAGCCGCTTCACAGCAGGAAGGAAGAGGAAGAGAGAGGCGAAGGGCCAAGGCAAGCATTCTTCCTCCCACCGAGAGGAAAGTTCTTCTCGTGAGCCGGCTGTGATTGTGGTGGAGGACCAAGATGATGTGGCCCTGGAAACAGATACAACGACGGGCCATTCCCCTCCGCACTCTTTAATGCAAGGCGGCGACCTCGCTGGATCGTCCCAAGGTGTTGCCTTGGAGCGACCTCCTTCGTCGCCCGCAGTAACCTACGAGGTGGCGACCGGGGGTCGCTCAACGAGGCTCTGCATTCCTCCTCCGCCCCAAAGTCTAGGGGACGTGCAGCTGGAGACCCTGATCACCCTGCCCGCAGAAGATCAGGCCCGTATCTCAGCCGGTTCTGAGGACGACCTTGACAACATGGTTCTTCTGAGGCTTAGCCAAGTATTTGCCTTAACTTCCGCTGCGTCACTCCTTCCTTTTACATTCCTAACCTTTATGCCTTGGTGCAGGACACGTTGGGGATGATTGAGGTGGTTGGCAGGAAACGAGGCCGCCAAGCCGCCGCAGATGAAGCTGTGAAGGCAGCGGAGGCCAAGCAGAAGGAGTTACAGGAGGAGGTCGCCCGCCTCACAAGGGAGTTGGAGGAGAAAAATAGCCGCTGTGCCACTCTTGAGGTAGAGAATACTTCCTAGAAGGACCGCTGCGTCGCTCTAGAGGCAGACAAGGCCTCCTTGTCTTCGGAGGTGGAATCTGTATCCGCTCGCATAGTCGAGTTGGAGGGAGAGAAGACTGACCTGGTCCAGCAGTTGGAGGTGGAGAGGAGCGACCGAGCCCGCCATGCTGAAGAAGCGATCGAGTCCTTCAAATTTTCTCCCGATTTCACAGCGGTCGCTCTGGAGCAAATGGACAAGATGATAGCCGAATGGCTCAAGACTGAACCTGGGGCTCAATGGATGGTCAATGAGGGGACCAAGTCTTTCAATTGTGGGCTCTTTCGCGCCCAACAGGTCTTCCGAGACAGGCTATCCCAGCTCCCCAAAGGATTCTCTTTCCCTGACCTCGGCTTTCCTCCTCCCTGTCGCTCCTTGCCCGAGTTCGACCCCAGTCCTTACTTGGACGGAGAGAGCTCGAGCGCCTCTGAAGAAGAAGAAGAAGAAGAAGAAGTAGATGGACAGGGCGACCAGAATCCAGGGGCCAGCCTAGCCACGTCTAAGACGGGTGGAAACCCCAGCTCGAGCATCTAACCTCCTCTGTTGTCCTCTTTCAACTTTGTCAAACACTTATAATTTTTTCTTTTTGAAATGATATGTCGTTTTGATACAGTGCTCCCCTGTTTTGACAAAATACCTGACTTGCTGGGTTTACCGTGTGCTTTTTCCTTTAATTAATCTTGATAACATGGACGTCTTTGTCTGGGCCCAACTCTTGACTCCGGCCCAATTACATGACCAGGCCCAACCTCAGGGTTGGCCAACGTGCCGCCCAATTGACCCACTGTCCCTTGCAGTCTCTGATTGCATGTTCACGCGGCTCAAGGCTGCTTTATCGGTTCAGCTGCCTTGGGACTTGACCGTCCCTTCGGTTCCTTCACCTGGGCTTATTTATAAGCCCCCCTAGCCTTCACTTTGTTCCATCACCGAATAACATCCCTTCCACAATTTCGTCATGTCTGAGGAAATTCCTGTTTCTCTGAATCTCTCCGATGGGCCGGCTCCTTCTTCGCCGGAGCATGCATCCTCCCCCAGGTCAGTTAACTCCAATGACTGGGGGGGGGGGGGGCTAGACCCTTATGAATTCTGTCGCTGGTTGCCTCACCGGCAGTGGCCATCGGTGAGACCGCCGCCGATTCCCCCAAACCCTTATGATGATTTCAGCGAGGCGTACAAGGCCCTCTCCGCCAACCGTCTGCTCGACGGCCGGATTGACTGGGATGCCCCATGCCCCCTCCATTCGTTGCAATGCATGGCCTGGGGGAGCTTTCACAATGAGCTCTTACCCCTCTTAGAGCATGAGTGCGCATATTACGCGAGTCTGGAGCGGTGGACTAACGAGAGTCGCACCAGTTCACCAGTGAGGCCTAAAGATGAGGTTTTCGTGGGGGAAGAACTGGGTTCTTCCCTACCTCGCCCCGCTGGTCGCTCACCTCCCCGGAAGGCTCCTAGGCGATCTAGGGTAGCACGAGCGACCTCAGGGTCTGCATCCTCGTCTAAGTGATTCCGATTGTGGCTCACAGAAAAGTGAGTCGCCTCCCGTCCTTCCCTTGCAGGAAAAGGACGGTGGGTTTTTGCTGCAGCTGGGGGCGACCACACCTCTTCCATAATGGGGAAGAAAGGTGGTCGCTGTGGACGGCCGGTGATCAGAGCTCTATCGGCCTATACAGCTGCAGAACTACCTTTCAACCTCGCCCTTTCCCCTGGATTCTTCATCCTTCCCGGCTTCAGCTGCGCAAAGTTCTAAATTTTCTTTTTCCTCCTTTTTTTTCTTGTAAGAAATGTATGAGAGAATATCCCTTCTTTTGGAAGTATGTAGAGATTGTTCTCAATTGGATTGTATGTGTACACGCAAGAGACTATCCTTGAAATGTAATGCACGTTTCCATAAATGCACTTTGATGTTACCTGTTTACTTACAAGTCCCATCTTCTTCTCTTTTGCACCTTTTTTGACTTAGCCATTTTTTGGGTACTTCAGCCCCCATGGCATTGCCATACTCTTCAAGGTTCCCAGGTCGCTCATGCGACCATCAGATCCTAAACTTTGGACTTAGCCGTTTTCCTTAGGCCTTCTTGCCACGGCGTTATCTTCTGTTTAGTCGCGCTGCCCCTTAGTCGCTCTGACGACCAGGGGATGAGCATTCCTTACAGCCTTGAATCTTGGTCGCTTGACAGGGTTCGGCACTTCATCCCCTGGCGGGTGTCTTAGTGTGAATCATCATGCGAATCACCATCCGGCTTCAATTAGCGATCTCATTGGTCGCTTCCTTTTTTTAGATGGTGGAATAGATATTCCAGAATGCTGGTTCTATTAAACTTTGAAAAAGAGGAACACGGCCGAAATACAATCTATTGATAAAATTTAATAAGATTGGCGGCATTCCATACTCGCGGAACGTCACCTCCAGCTGGTGTTTGTTAGGTTCTTTTGTAGTCTTTAAATTCCCTTACATTTACTAATCTTTGGGTCACCATTAGTGAGAATTTGATTTAATTTAAGATCAAGAAAGAACGTTGACCATCTTAGAGGTTAGAGTGCAATTCTTGTGTTATTTTAGGTCCAATGGGTTAATTGTTAGAATCGGGCTAAACGACCCAAGGTGAAAATAACCAACCCGGCCCATTAGTTGAGTACAAAACTTAGTTACGTGAGAGGGAGAGATCAGTTACGCGAGAGGAGAAAGGAACGAGAGAGAGGGAAGGTGAGATCGAAGAGTTAACCGGGGGAGAAATTCGGCGACCAGGCATAATCCGGCGAGCTAGACCTCGCGATCATCATCATTTATCGCACAATCACCAAGCGCTCCTCCCGATCAAGCGCTGTGACCGAACAGAGGAGTCATCACGTTCGTAGGATTTGATCCTCGAACGCTGTCCATAGGTACTGCGTTGTTTTTATTTCCAAATTCGAGATACAGTTTTAATGTTTGAGGATTGTTTGAATTGTTGATTCATAATTGAACGTTTGATTTTGTGCTATTCAAATCTGAGTCCTAATCTCTTGTTCAGACGATATACTCCTGCGATCATGTGTTTAAATTGTGAATCGATTATCATGATCATGTTCCGAGAGTAATTCCTCTCTTGTCTGGTGGAAATTTAGGATCAGTTCTCAGGCATTTGTGCTCATTGCAATGATTTGAGGTTTAGACAGTTGTTGAAGGTTGTTTGATCCTGTTTTGTGCTCAGCTTCTCAAACTGTTGATTGTAGGTCTCATGCCTCAATTATTCAGTCTGAAATTCTTATTTGGGGTTCAACAACTGACATATAGTGTATTTGGCTGTCCAAGTATATTGTATGTTCAAAAGGTCTTTTAATTGAATTCATGCTTATGTTCATTTGCTTCAGGCTCATCCTGAGGTTATTAACGTAGGTACAGGTCCTTAGGCAGTGCTTATCGCTCTTAAGGACTGATTTCTGAGGTGGAGATTTAGCTCCTTGCTGAGAGAGCTAAATCTCACTTTTGTTCAACAACTTGTTTAATTGAGAATCTGATTTTTTTACTTTGATCTGATCAACTGTTCCTAATTCCACCAGACAAGTTTGTTCACTCAAATTGATAACCACAAACTTTTACCTGAACTTCTCTTTCCTTCTTTGATCTGTTCTCACTGTTTCTGTTAGAATCTGTTTTC